ATATATATATATATATATAATTTATTCAATTTTTTTGTCACAATGCAGGTCTCCCATACAATCAACACACATTCCTGTAAAAAAGAAATAATAATAATAATAACAACAATAATAATAATAAAATGTATGTGTATATATATATATATATATATATATATATATAATTTTTATTATTATTATTTATTTTTTACAGGAATGTGTTTTGATTGTATGGGAGACCTGCATTGTGACAAATATATATATAAAAAATATATATATATATATATAATTTATGTTTATTTTTTTGTCACAATGCAGGTCCCCCATACAATCAACACACATTCCTTTAAAAAAAAATATTATTATCATTAATAATAAGAATAAAATGTATGTATGTGCATATGTATATATATATATATATATAAGTATAAATTTATTATTATTTTTTTTTTTATTTTATTTATTTTTTAAAGGAATGTGTGTTGATTGTATGGGAGACCTGCATTGTGAGAAAAAAAATAAAAAAATAAAAAAAAATATATATATATATAATTTATTTGATTTTTGGGTCACAATGCAGGTCTCCCATACAATCAACACACATTCCTTTAAAAAAATAAATTATTATTATTATTATTATTATTATTAATAGCAATAATAATAATAAAATGTATGTGTGTATATATATATATATATAATTTTTATTATTATTATTTATTTTTTGCAGGAATGTGTGTTGATTGTATGGGAGACCTGCATTGTGACACACAAACATATACAGGCAGACAGATGTGTATATAGCTGTGTACTTGTGTGGGAATGAATACATATTTATGTAGGTGAACATTTATTTTCTGTTGAACACGCAGGCGATGTAAGAGAAAAGAAGGGAATCCACAGAGCTATTTAATCAGGAATAAGAGGCTCCTGTTCTGTTCAGCGCCGGGTTCCTCCAGCGAATGAGAAATGTATTTATTGTTTTATTCCGAGTCTCATTTACAATGTAAACTTGTCTAGACTGACAGGCCGGGAGATGCCGCGATTATTCTGCGCTGGAACAAGCAGCGAGCGCCTGTGATCACCTCCTGCTGGAGGATGCTGGCTTGGCTCAGGCTGGAAAGAGGACTGGGATTTGGTTGAAAGGCCTTCAGATCCTGGGGGGGACTACAAGTGCCAGCAGCCGGCCTGACAAAACCCAAGTCACTTCATTTCTCTGACATTTTGGTGAAAAGTGGGAGAATTTGGGGGAAATATTACCGAAATGCATTGGAGTCAACAGCGAAGGGAACTGAAGGTGGCCTATAAGGGTGCCTTGGGCTGTAGAGAGGCTCCTGAGGAGCGACATTAGTTTGCTTTTATTTCAGTACAACACAAAAATATCCATTTACATATAATGTACAAATAACACAAATATACTAAACTTCCCTAAATTCGAGTAAAAAAAGTGACTTTATTTTGAATGCAGAGGATGCAACCTTTAGGCGTTTAGCAAATTTGCCCCAAAGATTGGGATTGGATGGATGATTCCAGTGTTGTCACCAGAACAGGAAGAGAGGGCAAAGTCCCCCTGTGGGGACACCAGGTCCAGTGACAACTCCGGAAGATGGATTTATCTCACTATGAGGAGATTTCCCTTCAGGTCTTGATGTGTCTGCAGGGCTGCGCTTGTCTCTGCCCACTTCTGTAGTGGGTGGAGCCTGCTGGGCCCCTCCCATAGCTCTGCTCATTCTCTCCTTGTACAGGGTAATCAGTCTTTTCTCCACCCCCTCCTGTAGTTTTTTATGATGGGCCCATCCCACAGTTTTGATCTCTCATTGTGTAGGGTGACTGGTCTTGTCTCCACCCCCTTCTGTAGTGGGTGGAGCCTGCTGCCCCCCTCCGCCTGCTCTGCTCTCTCCCCTTCTTCAGGGTGTCTCTCCTCCCTCTTGTAGTTTTCTGTAGTAGGTGGAGCCTGATGGCCCCTCCCACAGTTTTGCTCTCTCTCCGTAGGCAGGGTGATTGCGCTTGTCTCCGCCCCCTTCTGTAGTGGGTGGAGCCTGCTGGCCCCCTCCCATAGCTCCGCTCTATCTTTCCCTGTACAGGGTGATCAGTCTTGTCTCCACCCCCTCCTGTAGTTTTATGTAGTGGGTGGAGCCTGATGGGCCCATTCCACAGTTTTGATCTCTCCTTGTGTAGGGTGACTGGTCTTGTCTCCACCCCCTTCTGTAGTGGGTGGAGCCTGCTGCCCCCCTCCCCCAGCTCTGCTCTCTCTCCTGCAGGGTGACTTGTCTCTGCCCCCCCCTCCTGTAGTTTTCTGTAGTGGGTGGAGCCTGCTGTGTCCCTCCCACAGCTTTGCCATCTCTCTGTGCAGAGGAACTGATCTTGTCTCCGCCCCCTCATGTAGTTTTCTGTAGTGGGTGGAGCCTGCTGTGTCCCTCCCGCAGCTTTGCCATCTCTCTGTGCAGAGGAACTGGTCTTGTCTCCGCCCCCTCCTGTAGTTTTCTGTGGTGGGTGGAGCCTGCTGGGCCCCTCCCACAACTTTTCTCTCCTTTTGCAGGATGACTGGTCTTGTCTCCAGCCACTCCTGTAGTTTTTTGTGTTGGGTGGAGCCTGCAGGCCCCTCCCACATATCTGCTCCCCACTTATGCTATGCACAGGTAGTATCTGGCTTTAGAATCCTCACAAAGAGGATTTCTAACATTTGTGGATGTTCGATGAATACATTTACAGTCTTCAGGTGTGGAAAACGAAAACATGGCGCAAAGTAAGTTTCAGTGCGCACAAGAAAACCGCCGAAGTTTCTAGGTGTGGAGCGCCGCTTTAGGATTTGTTAGTGAAGGGTTGGAGCTCCAGTCGGGTTTTTATTGCTTTTTGTCTCCTTTTAGGACCAGGGGCATAGATAAGGGGGGGGTCAGGGGGGTCTGAACCTCCCCCCAAGAGGACAGTTGCCAACCATCCCTGTCTAGGACAATGCTCCCTGTCTATAGGATCGTTCTAGAGACCGACCATGAGGACCAGAACAGTAAGAGAGGGAAAAATCCCGCAATGGGGACACCAGGTCCAGTGACAACTCTGGAAGATGGTCTTCTCTCATTTTGGGGAGATTTCCCTTCGGGTTTTGATGTGTCTTCAGGACAGGAAGTGAAGGGAAGTCTCTAGCGTGGGACAAACCCCTCCCCTAGGGTATTAACCATTCATTACCCAATCCACAAAAAGCTTCACTTCAGTAATTCCTCTTCTGATCCCCTTCTTACTCCTCCATGTACAATAGGCTGTTCCAGCAATCCTGCCGCTATTAACCTCTCCCCCCCCCCCCCCCCCCAGTGTGCTGTGTACAGGTGGCAGCATGGCAGGAGGGCGTAATGCCCGGCAACCACACACACTCACCGGCCACTTTATTAGATCCACCAGTTCAATGGCTCAGTCACAGAAACTGCTAATCAGCCAATCACACGGCAGCAACTCAATGCATTTAGGTACCTGCTGAAGTTCAAACCAGGGAAGAAAGGGGATTTAAGTGACTTTGAACGTGGCATGGTGGTTGGTGCCAGACAGGCTCCTGGGATTTTCCCGCACAGCCATCTCTAGGGATTACGGAGAATGGTCTGAAAAGGAGAAAATATCCAGTGAGTGGCAGTTGTACAATGTACAGTCTGATCACCGGAGGAGGGGAGACTGAGGAAACGACTCCTCCTCCTTCTACAAAGTTACAATGTACAGTCTGATCACTGGAGGAGGGGAGACTGAGGAAATGACTCCTCCTCCTTCAACAAAATTACAATGTACAGTCTGATCACTGGGGGAGGAGACTGAGGAAATGACTCCTCCTCCTTCTACAAAGTTACAATGTACAGTCTGATCACTGGGGGAGGAGACTGAGGAAATGCCTCCTCCTCCTCCTACAAAGGTACTATGTACAGTCTGATCCCTGTGGGAGGGGAGACTGAGGAAATGCCTCCTCCTCCTTCTACAAAGTTACAATGTACAGTCTGATCACTGGGGGAGGGGAGACTGAGGAAATGCCTCCTCCTTCCACAAAATTACAATGTACAGTCTGATCACTGGGGGAGGAGACTGAGGAAATGACTCCTCCTCCTAAAGTTTAAAGGAAGTTAGTTTGGATTTTCCAGTCCGGCTTTAGATTTGCTGATAATGAAGTGGTCTAATGTTCTCCAGCACCCCCCCCCCCCCTGCCCCAACTGAAAGCCCCCGGGGGGGTATTTGTCATATTGGAAGGTGGGGTAGGGGCTCTATTGGATTTTATTGAGCCGTTTTTTGCGCATGAATTGGCCTCGATGGGGGTGAAGAAATAAACATAATGTGCATTTCTGCAAAGATTAAACGCCGCGTGCCTCACGGCTCCACTACCCAGGTGAGCCACGAGCCGCGATCCACGAGCCACGAGCACCACCTGCAGCAGCCAGCACAGCGCATAATTAACTTCTGTTATCCACCGATGAGTGCCGTGTCCTGAGGCCGAACCGTTGTCTTTAATCAACAACGTCATCCCGTCGCTTTACTGGCGAGAAGAAGCCGGCCGCTAAAAAGAGCGTCAGCGTCGATTTATCATCTCGGGTCCCCGATCATCGCCTGAAACGTACAATGAAGACAACGTTGTACTTCTTCTAGGAAACATTGTTGCAAATCTGCAGCCTTGTTCAATTAACGCGCGGCACGGCGCGGCAATCAATCCGAATTTACTGAAACCGGAACGCTGGACGATAGATCCTGATTTGACGAGCACTTCGCACTTTACAGCTTTGCTGCGAGTATTACAGCCGTCCAAAATGGATTTTCTTTTTCCAGATAGAAAATCTTTTTGGAATAAGAGATGAGAGGGATTGGTACACGGGAGCCGGCCGGTGTGCGCCAGACGTGCCCTGCGAGGGTTAAATTCACACGTCTGACTTACGGCTCTTGGAATCTGTTGGTCAGAAAAGATCATATTCGTATTAAAAATAAAAAGTTTCTGTAAAAAGAGAGAAAAAAAAAGATATATGTTTATATATACTGTATATACACTATACTGCCAGACGTATTGTCCCAATCATGTGATTCAGGTGCTCCAATCCCCTCCCAATCATGTGATTCAGGTGCTCCAATTGCCTCCATATCATGTGATTCAGGTGCTCCAATCCCCTTCATATCATGTGATTCAGGTGTTCCAATCCCCTTCATATCATGTGATTCAGGTGTTCCAATCCCCTCCCAATCATGTGATTCAGGTGCTCCAATCCCCTCCCAATCATTTGATTCAGGTGTTCCAATCCCCTCCCAATCATGTGATTCAGATGTTCCAATCCCCTCCATATCATGTGATTCAGGTGTTCCAATCCCCTTCATATCATGTGATTCAGGTATTCCAATCCCCTCCCAATCATGTGATTCAGGTGTTCCAATCCCCTCCATATCATGTGATTCAGGTGTTCCAATCCCCTCCATATCATGTGATTCAGGTGTTCCAATCCCCTCCCAATCATGTGATTCAGGTGTTCCAATCCCCTCCATATCATGTGATTCAGGTATTCCAATCCCCTCCCAATCATGTGATTCAGGTGTTCCAATCCCCTCCATGGACACAGGTATATACAATCAAGCCCCTAGGCATGCAGACGGCTTCTACAAACATTGGTGAAAGAATGGGTCGCTCTCAGGAGCTCAGTGACTCCAAGCGTGGTCCCGTGATAGGTGGCCACCTGGGCAATAAGTCCATCCGTGACATTTCCTGGCTACTAAATATTCCACGCTCAACTGTTAGTGGGATTATAACAAAGTGGAAGCAACTGGGAACAACAGCCACTCAGCCACCAAGTGGTAGGCCACGTCACATGACAGGGCGGGGTCAGCGCATGCTGAAGCGCACAGTGCGCAGAAGTCGCCAACTGTCTGCAGAGTCAATAGCTAAAGACCTCCAAACTTGGTGTGGCCTTCAGATGAGCCCAACAACAGTGCGTAGAGAGCTTCATGGAATGGGTTTCCATGGCCGAGCAGCTGCATCCAAGCCTTCCATCACCAAGTGCAATGCAAAGCGTCAGATGCCGTGGTGTAAAGCACGCCGCCACTGGACTCTAGAGCAGTGGAGGCGTGTTCTCTGGAGGGACCGATCATGCTTCTTGGATGGATGTGTCTGGGTTTGGCTGTTGCCAGGAGAATGGTACTTGCCTGACTGCATTGTGCCAAGTGTAAAGTTTGGTGGAGGGGGGATTATGGTGTGGGGTTGTTTTTCAGGGGTTGGGTTGGCCCCCTAGTTCCAGTGAAGGGAACACTTAAGGCGACATTTTGGACAATTTCATGTCCCAACTTTGTGGGAGGAGTTTGGGGATGGCCCCTTCCTGTTCCAACATGACTGCCCACCAGTGCACAAAGCAAGGTCCATAAAGACATGGAGGAGCCAGTTTGGGGTGGAGGAACTTGACTGTCCTGCACAGAGTCCTGACCTCAACCCCATAGAACACCTTTGGGATGAATTAGCGCGGAGACTGCGAGCCAGGCCTCCTCCCCCGACATCAGTGCCTGACCTGACAAATGTGCTTCTGGAAGAATGGTGGTCCAACCTTCCCATAGACACCCTCCTAAACCTTGTGGGGGGCCTTCCCAGAAGAGGTGAAGCTGTTATAGCTGCAAAGGGCGGGGCCAACTCAATATTGAACCCTACGGACTAAGACTGGGGGGCCATTAAAGGTCATGTGTGTGGAAAGGGCGGGGCCAACTCCATATTGAACCCTACGGACTAAGACTGGGGGGCCATTAAAGGTCATGTGTGTGGAAAGGGCGGGGCCAACTCAATATTGAACCCTATGGACTAAGACTGGGAGGGGCCATTAAAGGTCATGTGTGTGGAAAGGGCGGGGCCAACTCCATATTGAACCCTATGGACTAAGACTGGGGGGCCATTAAAGGTCATGTGCGTGGAAAGGGCGGGGCCAACTCAATATTGAACCCTGCGGACTAAGACTGGGGGGCCATTTAAGGTCATGTGTGTGGAAAGGGCGGGGCCAACTCAATATTGAACCCTACAGACTAAGACTGGGGGGCCATTAAAGGTCATGTGTGTGGAAAGGGCGGGACCACCTCAATATTGAACCCTACGGACTAAGACTGGGGGGCCATTAAAGGTCATGTGTGTGGAAAGGCCGGCGGACCAATACTTGGGGCAATATAGCGTGCAGGGGTGGACTGACCATCTGGAAACTCGGGCACTGCCCGAGGGCCCGGGATCAGTAGGGGGCCCCATCAGATGCCCCTGGTACCTTTTTCATAGGCTTTTTTGAGTTTGGGCAAGGACACAGGGGCCCCATGATCCCCTATTGCCCGGGCGCGCCCCATGAGTTGTCAGTCCGCCCCTGATAGCGTGTGTGTAATTGTGTATACATATATGCACACGCACATTTTTTTTTTATTAATATGTATATGCAGTCAGACAGATTTATCCTCAGTTCCTGTCCTGCTGAGATCAGGTTCACCTGACAGGAAGTGGGTGAGAATCTGCATCAGAGACACAAACATCTGACATGGGTTCTATTCTTCTCCTACATTACTGAAAACATGTTTTTTTCCTATCTGTGTCGCTGAGTTCTCCTCATTTCATAGTAAAACGTTGTCAGCAGGACGGGAGGTGAGGGGAAAGCTCTCTAAAGGATCCCGGGATACCAGGAGAGACCTCACGGGGGGCTTTAATCCTTTCTCATTCAATCCTAGACTAGGAACCCCAGTTTGGACTGAAGATTTACTGAAGACATCATTAAAGGTCCACAAAACATGTTCCTGATGTAAATTGGATCAATGTGTCAATCTGCGCAATGCTTCTAGAAGGGTCATTTTTATGATGGACAAATATTCTATAACCTGATATAAAAAAAATTAAGTTTTTACAGTAGTCACCATAGATCTAATACATGCAAATATCGGGTAAGATGCTACACTATACAGCTAAAAGTATGAGGACCCCTCTAACTCCCCCTACAGCTCCCTGCCAAATGGAGGTCAGGTGTCTCCAGTGAAGGGTCCTGGTGATCCTCCATCATACAAAGACATTGGAGACAATTGTGCTCTTCCAACCTTGTAGTAACAGTTTGGTGAAGACCCTTTTCTGTCCCCCCTGACTGTCCTCTGTGTACAAAGCCAGCTCCATAAAGACATGGAGGACCAGTTTGTTGTGGAGGAACTCCAGTGTCCTGTACAGAGCCCTGACCTCAACCTACTGAACACCTTTGGGATGAATTGGAACACTGATGGTGAGTCAAGTCCTCTCCTCCAACATCAGTACCTGACTTCACAAATGGGACAAATTCCTACAGACACTCTACACTCATCAGGTAAGATCTTTCAGAAGATTTTGGAGGATGGCATAGCCACTAAAGGGGTCAGCTCCATAAAGGCATGTTTGGTGTGAAGGAACTCCAGTGTCCTCCATGAATGAATTAGAAAATCTTGAGGAAAGCCTTCCAAGAAGAATGGAGGCTGTTATAGCTGCAAAGGGTGGAAACTCCATTATTAATGGCCATGGTTTTGAAATGCGCCGTCCAACAAGTTCTGAGCCCTGATCTCAAACCTACTGAACACCTTTGGGTTGGATTGGAACACCAATGTTGAGCCAGGTCCTCTCCTCCAACATCAGTACCTGACCTCACAAATGGGACAAATTCCCACAGACACCCTCCTAAATCTTGTGGAAAGTCTTCCCAGAAGAGTGGAGGATGGTATAGCCACAAAGGGGGTCCAAGTCCATATGAATGGCCATTATATTGGAATGGGATATCCAACAAATTCACAGAAGTGTGATGGCCGGGTGGTCACCACTTTTTAACTACAAGGTAAATGTTATGTTTATGTTATAGATATATCTATCATTATAATTAATATATTATTAATGACCAGACACAATGAAAACTGTATTGCCCATTACATCAGTGATCAGTGGAAAAGTGCCTTCTTACATTGGTAGTTGGTGTGGTGGCTCCATGCACAGGTGACCAATGGGAGAAAGACCCCTATGATTAATAATAGTCAGCGGGAATACATCCCCCCACCCCCACCCATTACAGTCAGAAATTGTTCATTGCTCAAGGAAACCCCTAGAAACCTCTGGAGTTTCTCAACTGGGGTGTTGTTTGAGCTGCTCAGTGGTGAAGGGAGCATGGGCACTGCATACGCATCATGAGTTGCCCGCTGGCCTCATGCACCATAACATCCAACGATGCTCTAGGGCAGGGGTCTGCAACCTTTAAGACATAAAGAGCCACTTGGACCCGTTTCCGAGAGGGAAAAAAAGACTGGGAGCCACAAAACCATTGCAACATTTAAAACAAATCCGACACTGCATATATTGCAAAAAGCGCTCTAGTCATGAAGGGGGTTTAAGGGCCCAGTAAGCAAAGGGTTAATCAGGGCCACAGTGTATCGTCATAATCACAATCAAGTGGTGGGCAATCTTTTTTTTTCAACTGAGCCAAATCTTGCCAAAACCACAATTTAAATTTATTTTGAGAGCAAATACATCCCCCATAGTAATTCATCCCCCATATAGTAATTCATCCCCCATAGTAATTCATCCCCCATAGTAATTCATCCCCCATATAGTAATTCATCCCCCATAGTAATTCATCCCCCCTATAGTAATTCATCCCCCATATAGTAATTCATCCCCCATAGTAATTAATCCCCCATATAGTAATTCATCCCCCATAGTAATTCATCCCCCATATAGTAATTCATCCGCCATATAGTAATTCATCCCCCATATAGTAATTCATCCCCCATAGTAATTCATCCCCCATATAGTAATTCATCCCCCATATAGTAATTCATCCCCCATAGTAATTCATCCCCCATATAGTAATTAATCCCCCATATAGTAATTCATCCCCCATATAGTAATTCATCCCCCATATAGTATTTCATCCCCCATATAGTAATTCATCCCCCATAGTAATACATCCCCCATAGTAATACATCCCCCATAGTAATTCATCCCCCATATTAATTCATCCCCCATATTAAGTCCCCAAGTCCCCCCTGTGTCAATTCACTTACCTTTGCTCCGCGCGTTCCTCTCGCCGTGTTCCCGCGCCGTTCCGGTGTAGCATGAAAATTTGTCTCCTATGAGGATCTGTCCCCCTCGACGTATCTGCGCATGTGCCAGTTTCAGGCATTAGCAGCCGATCGGCGATCTCCGGCACATGCGCAGATACGTCGAGGGGGACAGATCCTCATAGGAGACAGATTTTCATGCTACACCGGTCTTCAGGGCGGACTGTGAGAGAAGCCTAGCGGGAGCCTAGCTCCGCGGGCCGGATTAAAAGGTCCGCCGGGCCGTAGTTTGCCCATTGCTGCCCTATTGCCTGTCACCTGGTGGGCAGTGTGCTCCGGAGCCGCAGCCAAGGTGAAAAAGAGCCGCATGCGGCTCTGGAGCCGCGGGTTGCTGACACCCGCTCTAGGGCCATTCATTTGATATGGTGTTGGCGGTCAGCCCACTGATCCAGGGTAGGCAGGCCGGTTCCCAGTATACAGGAGAGGGCAGACGTTGCCTCATCCAGACCCCCTTCAACTCCCACTATCAGCTGCATGAAGGAGCCAAAAGGTAAGGCTCTGAGGTGATGGTGAGACTGTGTGCTTGTTGGCTTTCTCTGATGAGGGGGGTGGAGGGGTTATGTGATTGGGGTGTAGGCAGGTGCAGTCTATTTTCTCCCCTGTAGGTGGTGCTCACCTGAAATGGTACTGCAGCTGGAGGGGATGCCAAGAGAAACCTAGTTTCTCTATGGTTCCCTGGAGCAGCATTCTGATTGGCTATGCTGCATCCAGGTGACCATGGTGGCCATCTTGGGTCACACAGAGTGTTTTTAAGTATCTGCCTCCAGGTGTCGGCACGCATTTGTAGGGAGCAAACTCATTTGTCAGGGACAGCACTAGAGGCAGGGAGAGGTTCCAGAGGACTAGGGAAAGCTCAGGGCCTGTGTCTGCCCTTCTGCAAGCTCCTTCTTGGGTT